GTAACGGGCACGCGTCACGCGTGACTACCATACACGTAATATAATTCGTGTCCGAGGGAATAAGTCATCGGATTGTTCATTCGTGTATGGGTACTTTGTACTCCTTCGGTTTTGCAAATATCTTCGTTGCTCGTACGCCCACACCCATTGCGACATTGCTTTCGCTAATGAAATCACTTTATCTACAAAACTAATAGTTTAACCTATGACATTACTAATTTGAATAAAGCATCTCATCTCATCACATTTATGTATTCGAAATATAATGCGACTGATGATGGAATTAACAAGGAACGATCGTTATAACTAATTAAAGTGTAGATTCTTAAATATTAAAGACTACGAATCGAAAATCCTGTTCATCGAGGCTGTTTAAGAAATATTAAAAATTGAATAACAATTCTCAAGAGATATATTATTTATTAATTAATGAAACGGATTTGTAGTAAGCGTGGATAAAATATTTTGCGATATTAAAATATATTAGAATTATAATTCGTATTGTATAGAAAGAAAAGCGGTAGCGTAAATTAAAAATTACAAGGACAGATTACAATATTAGCAGGACGATGATTACAATAAGGTCGGTTACAATTTTAACTACATAAATTTTGCTCATCAGTTCGATAATTATTATCTTTGTTAAATGATGTAAAAGTGCATGCAGTTCTTATCTTTTGGAGTATTGAGCCAAGGGAAATTTTGCATCGAAATACGATACAATAAATGCATTTTTTATTTAGAAATACCCGTCCATATTATTAAATTATTAAACGTTTCTGCACCGCATCGAAGTATATTATGACGAAAATATTGGAATGCAAGAAAACAGCACGCGAGGCTGCGTGTATATACATTCTCGCAAAACTATAATTATTACAGCATCCGTATACTTTATGAATCGAAATTTCTTTAACGATTTTGTTATTTTTAGTAAAAGATGGCTCTTTAAAAATGAAATGTTCATCTTATTTATTTTTAAAAAATATAATTTTTTTAATGGAATACTGTAATAGCCTCTTGATGAAGGGAAGGTCTACATTTATTTATAATCACGCAAAGTGTATCATGCAGACTGAAGGAAAAACTATGTCTGATCCAGATAAAAAAAAAAGTAGTTCTGCAATCGAAAATAACATATACTAAGAATCCTTATTGTAACGTACATAAAATATACACTCCAATAGCTTTCCAATAATAATAATATTGTTATATTTGATGGAATTCACAATAGTATGAGCTATTTGTATATTTATTAAATTTTTTGTTTAATTTAATTTAATTTAATTTAATTTTATTCTATTCTATTCTATTCTATTCTATTCTATTCTATTCTATTCTATTCTATTTTATTTTATTTTATTTTATTGTTTAGCCTATAATTAGCAGTCAATATTTTATAATTATCCAAAAACAAATGTTGGATATTAATCAGCAGCGAAATTTTGTAATGCCTCAATTATTATCGTTATATAAATTAATGATGCAACAACATACATGGGAACATGTGTCGAAGATTATTAGTTTTCATAAATCTGCGTGATTACTCATGTAACCCAGTCATTCAATTGCACATGTTTGTTAATGATCAACAAGTTTACAAATATTCTAATACGATAGAGGTCTTTGAGTTGCCCCTTCAGCCGCCAATCGGATAAATGTTATAGTTCACGAGATAATCGCTACTAATATCATTAGCCTTGAACTCAAAATCAATTCTTAAAAAAGCTTCTAGTAAAAATTTAACACACACACACAAACACGATATCTATTTAAGTAATCGACTATTTTTATTAGAAATGAGTTTTATTTAGTTGGCGATGAATTCAGTGATAATTTATACCATTGACGTAATAATTAATAATGTATCGCGATGTAATAATTAATAGTTAATAATGACGTAATGTATTGTATTTGTAGTAATAGAAATTCCGTGCCTGTTCATTATCAAATTTCTAAACTATATATTCTCTTTAATTATCAAATATATGTTATTTGAATGCATTTGTAATATAAATTAACAAGCATCTAATGCAAAGTTATAAGTATACAGACAGACTAGAATGATATATTATATAGTAGACAAAGTTCATTCTGGCCCATCTGACAATTACTTTACATTACATTAGCTTTAGATTATAATATTAATAATAAATTTATTCATATTAACATAGGCAATCCATCCTTCCTTTTTATTAGGAATGCAGTTTTTCAGTATTTATAATGATCTTTGTTACCGTAAAAAATCTCAAATCTTATTGATCGAATAATAGAAAATTAAAACATAATAAATTCTATGGCACAGCGTAACAAGAAAGTTAAGTAGTTAGTTACGTTTTAATTAAAGCGCTGTGTATAACGATACCATAGCAAAGATTAAATCGTCTTGATATATAGCCACGTAATTGTGTTCTATAACCCGTTATGTCTTTGTAAGCACGTTGATTTCGAAATTTTACTGTTGACTTTAGAATATTTTTTATTTCAGAGATCGCTTGTACAAATTCTTTGCCTTTAAATTTCCACTCAATCGGAATAGCAAGATGGTTGATTATAGATTTTGATTGCTGACTTAAAGCGCATGAAATTTAAAAGATGATAACATTTAAGTTAATTATAAAATTAAAAATTAACGCTTTACGATTTTTCTTATCAATGATTTTTCTTACTTAAGTTTAAAATAGTGAAATAAAAATATCTATCAATATTACCAATCATATTCCCTCCTATTACACAATTAGCATTATATAAATATTTTTTTATTATTTAAAATTCTTATTAAACAAAAAGTTAATAATCGACAATGTATTTGAGTAAAAACAATAATTTGCTAATGCACACTAGTGCAATGAGATGCATGACAAGATTATTTATCAGACTAGAAAATGCTATAAGCCTTAAATAGCACGGATCGGCAAATCTCTTAGCCGAACAATTTAATTGTCCTTTAATTTGTGAAAAATTGAGGGCGATTAAAGGTGTCCCGGTGGCAAGGTATTTCACTCTTGCCGTAACTCTAGCGCGATTAAAACATGTTAATTAATCGATTTGCTGGCACAGCTAAGCAAACGTACTCATAAACAAAGCCAATGCGTTAAGCGTTCGCGTCTGGTTTATTCACGCCGGACAATTTAATAAAGCATCGGCCCGATCGAACAACATTACGCCATTAAAGGCCGTTAATAATACGCAACAAGCAATTCCTCTTTATCGAAAGGCACGGTCAGTGGTTGAGGGACCGCCAGGCTTTCATCAGGAGCCCTGTCATTCCTCGATGAGAATCTAATCACCTGGAAGCTTTACCGGGAATCCGGTATCAGGTTGTTCCCGCGAGTGCGAGTGCGACTGCGAGCTTCGGCTACGCCACCTATTTGATTGCGAAAAAGGGTCTCTTTTAATCGCCACGTGTTGGATGGGCTTTTTTTGATCGTCCAACTAGAATTCCACACTCATTAAACTCTGGTGCATGGGAAGCTTATGCCAATAGCTCGCGATCAGGGCAAAAGCTGACTAACAGCTGTGGCTTTGTTAATAATTTTGTTTCTTATAGTTGGGTTAAATTACAGAGCAGAGCAACTAGCCTTTCACACTTCTTCCATCGCGGATATCGTAAAGTTATTAATTAATACGATAAACAAAGCTTGGGCAGAAAAGCTGCCGAATTCATTAGCCATTAAGAAACTTCGTTCTTTTACTTGTACACATGCGAGTTGCGCCGCTACGATAAATAATTATGTCGGCGCGCTCCTCCTACTCCAATTGCTACTGTCTTCTCGTACATTCATACTAGCATTTACGCAATTTTCCGATTATCGATTTTCTTATATTCCACGATAAAATTGATCCTACATTCTCTCTCTCTCTCTCTCTCTCTCTCTCTCTCTCTCTCTCTCTCTATCAACAATCAAATATTAAAGTACAAATAATAGTTGATTGTTGATAGTTAAAAAGAAAATCAGGATCCCATCCTCCTTCCTCTCTACGAAACGGTTTCATTGCCTTCTTGGATATTTAAAGGAGTTTTTGCTTATTGCCAACAGCATTTTCACGCGATAGAGACTGTGGAAAATTGCCTTGCACATTTGAGTCTTTGTTGCTTGATATTAAACGAGAAAAATGTCGATCAAGATCGCTTCGCTTGAGTTTGAAAAGTTGTCTCTTACTTTCTAAACCTGCATCGGCATTAGGGATTATCGCAAACAGTTTCTACTTCCATTTATCTGCTTTTATATATAAGTTTCTCAAATCTTCTTCAAAGATATCGGTATAGATACCGAAAAAGGCACAAAATCATTTTCTTTCAAACGGCATGAATTTTCTCGATTTAAATAGTTGAATTTAAAACGATAAAAAGTTGAAAACGGGAATTAATTTAATCTTTGATGTGGAAAATGGGGATGGCTTTGTTAAATAATAATGCTTATTATAAATCCCAACTTCCATATGTGATAATACAGTTTCGGCCACTGACACTAAACGTACTAAAGAAAAAGCAAAAAATAAATAAGAAAAAATAGATGAAAAATTATTGCGCACAAGGGATCCACCTTGATTAGTAGTTAATAAGCTATCGATCGGCCTTAGAGACATGCTGAGCGTTGAGTTTGGCTCGCCGGGGTGCGGAACCCCAACTCCAAAACTCCCGAGGCGAGGAGGAGCAGTAGCGACCTCGTAACCTCGGCTTGAAACTACCAAAACGGCACACTACAGGAGCTGTCTCGTTCGCGAGCTCGCGGAAATCCGGGCGCATGACACAGGGGGACAACATACGGGCCTCGGTGAGCCGATCTCTCGGTTCCTCGGTTACAGCGGAAAATCGCCGATATTGTATTACGAGGGGAGGCCGGGCATCTTGCTGGGCCCAAAGACACCATCGGCGATTTGCGCCGTCGATTCGCCACGGACTCTAATTGATCCGAGCATTGGCCGAGGACCACTCGCCGGTCAATATCTAAATCGACTGGCCATTCCTGTTCCGACTACTACGCGCTGGTACTCACCATACAGGAGTTCGGCTCGTCGACTCTCGTCGCGGAGCGTAAGGACTCGTGCCGAGCGGCTGCAATCCACCCCAACGACGCCTTCTCCTTCGCTGTCCTGCCGCGAAGAGTCTGCTTTCCCGATCCCTCTCCTCGTGCACTTTCTCGCAGATTCGTTTGGGGCTCACTCTCCCCGGGCACCTCCTTTTCGTATCCGTACTGCAAAGGGCGGTGATGGCGGTCGGAGGCTGGACGCGCGGTCTCTCGGCGCCGATCTCCTCCGTAAGCCGGGCGCACGTACGACTCCGGTATCCGTGCGAGCGGCAGCGGCAACGAGAACGAGAACGAGAACCAGGACGAGGACGAGGACGAGGACAGAGGGAGGTGGGGCAGGGACGGGGATGCCGATCGATGGCCAGGGCACGCGCGCGCGACTCGGTGCGCGAACGCGGAGAAACTGGTAGGCGACCGAACGGAGCGCGGGTTCAGCGCCCGACTGAACCGAGGATGCAATCGGCCGCACCGCCATGGCCATCGTCCGCGGCTCTTTCTCTCTCTCCCTCTCCGGTGGACCCCTGGCGGGTTGCCGTTGCTGGCGCGCCGTGGCGTTGCCTCGTGCACTGCGGCCGGGCAGCCCGACCCTCCCCCTTCACCGCGCCCGCCGCTCGCGGCAACCCCGCCCCCACCGAGCCCGACACGACCATCGGACAAAGCGGGTGCGCGCGCACCGACGCGTTCCATCGCCCCCACCGCCCGGGAGCCACCGGAGCGCGGCGCCACCGAACGAGCGCCGCTGTTACCGAGCCCGTGGACGGGCCGGTGCACCGGGTCCTCGGTAGGCCCCTCGCTCGCGACCCGGCACGGGTTCTCCCCCGGGCTTTATAAAGCGAGGCGGCGCGATATTTGCATTGCGCGCGATCGCGCGCGTTAATGACTACCTGCCGCTGCCCTCTGCACGTACCCCCGGTACCGCCGAGAGGAAGCTGGGAATTAAACTCTGCTGCGCTTTTTTGTATCGGAGAACGCGCGCCAATGGGATAGGTGTGACGAAGCGGCGGGCGGGCGGGCAGGAGGAAGGGAGGCGCAAAAGAGAGCTAGAAAAAGAAATTGGGATAACAGAGAGAAATGAAGGTAATAATGTAGCGTGCAGTAGCTCCGAGGCATCCGTTATCCGGTGCGCGGATGGCCGAGTCCGTATCCGTGCTGCTGAGGTCAGTGGTCCACGCTTCGGACGGAGGAGGCGAAGGAGCGCTGCTTGCTCTGTTGCTTAGCCCCGAAGGCGAACGAATCGCGACTATTCCCGACACTACCGCGGCTCCCGACGCCCTGACTCCCGCGACTCCCCGACTGCCAACGGGGCCCTAACAAATCATTACACCGTATACGCACCCCATACTATATGCCCACATTCTAAATTATTATAGGCTTTTTCATTTTTAATTAATTAATTAATTAATTAATTAATTATTTTCCTGCTTGGTGTCCAATGACATTATGTAGCCATCGGCTCGTTTAAATGCACCCGACCTAAGTCACGTCCCGACTCGCAGACATTTTTCACCTTCAAAATTTTAAGATACCATGGAAGATAAATAAGAATCTATTTTATAGACGTGTAGACTAGCAGTGGTCATCCTTCATCGCTACAATGTCCATTAAAGGCAAAAGTATCTTATAGTATACGAAGTAATCCTATGAGCAATACCGATAATTTGTTAAACATACTTTCGTACGAGGAAAATAATGCGAGCTTAAAGTGAAAACGTTTTTAATTTATTAACATTCTTAAGTAATACTTAAGTTTATAAATTAACTCGGCTATAATAGCATATTCTTTGCGTAACCAGTCGGCGTCAATTGATAATAAATCATTTGTGTCAAGTCCATCAAATTAAATAAAATGGTAAAGTTTTTTAAAACGATACTTTAGGGGATTATTTTACGAGAACTGTCTCTTAAGAACTGCAACCATATTTGTCTTCTTTATTTTTCTTTTGAAACTAACACTAATAGGAATAATAATAGTATTTGAAATAATAAACGATTATGGGAAATAGCCGACGACTTATCTTCTTAATGTTTATTTACAATACTTCCAAATGTATTCCTTCAAATTTTATGCATATTTCGATTAATAGAATTGTTATTTAAAGTGCCGGCATTTTATCGTACGCGTACGCACATATTTTCACTCGATATTTCTATCATCTATTTACATAACCTATTTTAAGAATTAATAACTTCATTTTATTTTCAAAATCATAACTATTATATCTGGTTGCATGGGCAATATTTCTATCCGTCTAAATATATGAAACTTAAATACAAATTTATGCCCACAAACATAAAATATGATCTGTAAAGTCTTGAATGTAATAGCTTTTAATTATTATAGAAACTTTTACAGATTATCTATAATTTTATTACTCATTTTAATGTGCAATGCCAATGTTTAATTACTAAAATTTTTTCTACGCGTAAATATTTTTGTTATTTCAATACTCGCAGTAACAAATACAATTTAAATTCCATTCCCCTTACCTAAAAAATTAATGAAAAACATATACAATATATTTTTTACAATTAAATAAGTGTTTTCATTTTTTAATCGCTTTTACGCGAAGTAATTTTATTTAACTAAGGATATGGAAATAATTATTAATTACGCGTTCTAAATTACCGTACCCCTTACGTGCTATTGAATATAAAACATATACGCTATATTTATTTGTCAATTAATACATTTGACTCGCTCAATTTTTATTATAATAATTGTGACAAATTTGCACTTTATAGGAATTAAAGTTATAAATAGTACTCACAAAAAAAAAAAGTAATTTAATAAATGAAATAAAGTTAAAGCACCAACGATACATTAATGAACTAATGATAACACGATTAGTTTTCAAACATACAAATATATTTATTGATGTGCGTCACTTTAAAAAAGTAAATGCAAATTATTATTTTTAACGTTGAATGTTTTATATTTCATTCTACAATCAGCGAGTTAATAAACGTATAAATACTAATATTGAAAATGAAATTTCCGACATTTTTCAATAATTCATTAAAATAAACAATAAAATTTCGCTAACTATTAATTTTCGTTACATTATACACCTATTTCGGTTTTTTGCAATCAATTTTTAGCAATGTCGTTACTATCAGCAAGTGTTTACGCGCGCATAAACATGTGCACATATGCATTAGTCAAAGGCAGTGACATGCGAAGAAAGAAGGTCTTACGTAGAGTATATAACCTAAAACAGCAAAGTATATTTATTATTCAGATTTGGAAAACATTTGATTTTACCAAAATTCTTTTATTATATTAATTATAGTATGTGAATTAAGTTACATTTTTTTTCTAATCCGAAACATCATTTTAACGTGATTTTTTTAAAGCGTTCATGTTTTAGGTTATGATTAATTAGTCGTTAATAATACATTTCCAACCTTCGAATTGAAGAAATTAATATTTCGTAATTCACTGTGAAATTAAAATTAGTAAATACGATATTATACAAAATAGTTTGAAAAATAATATTTTTTATTAAAACAACTAAAATTCAACTACTTAAATAGCTTAACATAACTTTAAATATATCCAAGAAATTGTATGAAATCTATAAATTATAGAAATGTTACTGGAAGAAGAAAAATCACGATATTCTTAAATTAAAAAACGTTTTCATTATGTATGGAATTTATATTCGATAATTTATAAAAGTATAGTAAAAATAAATACAATGTTTGATTATTAAATAAACTATGGACTTTTATTTTCATGCGCCTTAAATATTTTACATTAAAAGATAAATGTTAAGGAAAAAGGTATGCAAAGATTTGTGAATCGTGAAACATCTATTAAGTTACAAAATAGCATACTTGATTATACATATTACTATTATTTCCACTCTGCTACTTAAATTAAAATGAAATAATTTTATTTACTTATTTATTTTGTCCTCGCAGTTTTTTGTTCAACGACTTAATGGAAAGAAGTCATATGAAAATTTAAAACATAATATTGTATTGGACATATGGGTGAGTAGCAAACAAGTGAGTGCAACAAAAAATACAATTTAATAATCAAAAGAATTTTAAGTTTAAAAAAAATTTTCTTTTTAAAAGCCTAAAGATAAGGAACCCACTTTACCACATTATTGGATATTTATTAAAATTTCATCCAGTCATCTAATTTTTATTTAACTTCCTTTTTAATTAAGCATTGAAATTACATTAGAAAAATAATTGTTTAATGAGTTACATGATGTTTTTTAGTAAATTTGAATTTTATTATTGCGATAGAGCCTGGATTTTCCCTCCAATACTCATTTAATTATTTCATTACTTCATTCTTTAAAATTAATTTATAATTATTAATAGAATAGCAAGATAGAATATAACTTATATTTTATTATATTTTTCAAATTTATGTAAATAATAATTGCTTATTATTTGGAAAAATAAAAAATAAAAAATGTTTTGATGGTTTAAAAACACAAACATACATATTATTACATTTTCGTTTAAATAAAATTTTATATACAATGTTATACGCTTAAGTTATGTTTTTTTTTTTTGTTTAATTTTTATTTTTAGAAACAATTTTATACAGCAGTAAATTATATTTTCCTATTTAAAGGGAAGATAATGCTTAACTTTACTATATTTTTCTATTAAAAGTATAAAAATGTAAAAAATGAAATTAAAATTATATTAGAAATAGTGGAAATTTATAGTGTTTTTCAATTAATTTCCAATGATATATTATAATAAAATGTTGAAAGTTGTTTAAGAAAAAAAAAAATGCTTTAAATATTATTTTAAATCTATGTTGTAATGTTTTTGAATAACTTTATCTTCAAATAGAAGAAAAACATAATATCATAAACTCATAAATATCTATATATCAGTACTGAAATTTTTAATTTACATCAGTGATTTTATTACAGTTAAAAAATAAATATAATTACCAAAATTCTATATGATAGTACCAGAAGATAAAGTCTTAAATATTAGTAAACTGTTTTTTAAACCTAAACTATTTTAATATTATATTTATCTTTTATTATTCGTCTCAATATACAATTTTCATGAAAGTACGAAAAAAAAATCGATTATAACTTTGCTGTAATATTTTAAGTGCAATAGTTTTCGACACTTTCGCAGTGCTATCACTATAGACGCAAAAACAGAACTTGGTTTTCCATTATTCTCACCCATTGAGGCAAACATTTTAACATTTTAAGTCAGCCAGAAGTATTATTTCGGATAATTTCTTATTCAACTTCTCCTTAATTTATAAAACAACTTATCTAAGTAATTATCAGATGTTGGAGATAAGTTCTGTGCGATTCCTACCGAGGTTATTTATCTTTGACTTTTACAGACAAGGATAAAACTATAGTCGGGAAGTTATTTTTAGATTACGAATACTATTTGTCGATAGCTGCTTCCAAATTCAGACGTCTGCTTCTATCGCAATTCTGTATCGTTTAATTTATCAATTAACTTATTCATTCGTTAAAAGTAACTTTTAATTGTTTGCAATTATAAAGGATTTGTTAAAATGTATTCGCCTAGTGTTACTTTTATTCTTA